CAGCGCCGCGTCCCCACGTGCTGATGTCTCCGTGTACCGGTGTCCCCAGTCCCCACGTGTGCGTGTCCCAAATATCCCTGTGTGACGCTGGTGTCCCAGCCCGCTGTCACGGCAGCCCTGCTGTCACCGTGACACAAACCTCGCTCACTGCGTCCCCACATCGTGACACAACCCTCCCCCATCCCCAGCTTCCCGTGCCCACGCTGCCTGCCTTTCCCACTGCTGAGGACAGGGATGATGACACTGCCGAGGACACGCAGGCAATGGTGCGGGCGCAGAACAAGAAGAAGAAATCCGGAGGCTTCCAGTCCATGGGTATGTGTAGGGTGGGGGTCACCCCACCTGCAGAGCCCTTCACCGTCCGTATATCCCCTCACTGTTTCCATGTCCCTGCAGGCCTGAGCTACCCTGTCTTCAAGGGTGTGATGAAGAAGGGCTACAAAGTGCCCACACCCATCCAGAGGAAGGTGAGGCCTTGGGGTGCAGGGGCTGTGCTGTGTCCCCCCATGGGGGCACTGACAGCGGGGCTGTGTCCCACAGACCATCCCAGTGATCCTGCGTGGCCGTGACGTGGTGGCGATGGCACGGACAGGCAGTGGGAAGACGGCCTGCTTCCTCCTGCCCATGTTCGAGCGGCTGAAGGCACCCAGCCCCTCCGGAGCACGTGCCCTCATCCTCTCACCCACTCGTGAGCTAGCCCTGCAGACCCTCAAGTTCACCAAGGAGGTACAGGGACAAGTGGGCACCACTCGGGGCTGGAATCCCGGTGTGCTTTAACCTCACTGTTTCCCTTCTTGCCCTGAAGCTGGGCAAGTTCACAGGATTGAAGACCGCTCTTGTGCTGGGAGGAGACAAGTGAGTGGTATTCCTGATCTGACTGAGTCTCTTCCAGCCCCCGCATCCTTAAAACAGCCCCAAATCTGCCCAGCCCTGGGAGGCGGTGGGCTGAGCTGTCCCCTGCCCTTGGTCTCTCCCCACTCTCACAGGATGGAGGATCAGTTTGCTGCGCTGCACGAGAACCCCGACATGTGAGTGTGGGTGCAGGGAGAGGACTTGGTGGGGTTGTGGCCACCAAGGTCAGATTTGGGATGGTGAATTTGGGAGACTGCAAGCAGCTCAGCATCACCATCTCTGGCCCTCACAGAATCATTGCCACTCCCGGGCGCCTGGTGCATGTGGCAGTGGAGATGAACCTGAAGCTGCAGAGCGTGGAATACGTGGTGTTTGACGAGGCTGACAGGTCAGTGTGCTTGGAGGTGATGATGGGAGCAGGGGGACCTTGGCTGCCACATCCCAGGTCCCATGTGCTTTCCCTGCAGGCTCTTTGAGATGGGCTTTGCAGAACAGCTCCAAGAGATCCTTGCTCGGCTACCGGGTAGCCACCAGACCGTCCTCTTCTCAGCCACACTGCCCAAGCTGCTCGTTGAGTTTGCCCGTGCTGGTGAGAATTGGGTAGATGGGCTGGGTTGGGACTGGCTCCAAAGCTTGGTGGTCCTATACTGGTGGCAATGATCTGTTGGGGGGACTTCTCCCTGTCCTGCAGCTGTACTGGACCAGAGAAACAGAGCTGGGTTGGGGTTGGGCCAAGTGGATGTCCCCACGCTGGGAGCTAGAGCTGGTCTCAGCTCTGTGTCCCACATGCCACCATGTCCCGCAGGTCTCACTGAGCCAATGCTGATACGTCTGGATGTGGAGTCAAAGCTCAGTGAGCAGCTCAAGGTGAGCTTTGTGCCTCTCCCTCCAGCACCAGGTGCTCCCATGCCTACAAGTTACCCCATGTTGTCTGGAGACTCATGAGGGGTGACCAGCCCAGAAAGGAGTGGGCACTGCGAGGTGTTCCCAAAAGCCTGGGGGCCCAGAAGGGCTGAGCCCTGCCCTCTCTTTGCAGCTGGCTTTCTTCCATGTCCGTGGAGATGACAAACCAGCGGTGCTGCTCCACCTGCTCCGCAGCGTGGTGAAGCCCCAGGATCAGACAGTCGTCTTTGTGGCCACGAAGCACCACACGGAGTATCTCAAGGAGGTCAGTGGCACCCAGGGTACCCAGTGTTTGGGGTCTGGGTGGGCACTTTAGGGACTCAGTACCTTGGGGACCCTTTCCCTGAGCTGGAGGTGCATTTCCATGTGGGTTCTGTGCTCTCTTTCCTTGTCTGCAGCTACTCACGTCCCAGGGCATCTGCTGTACCCACATCTACAGCTCACTGGACCAGACTGCCCGCAAAATCAACATTGCCAAATTTGCCCATGGCAAATGCCAGGTGCTGCTGGTGACAGATGTGGCTGCCCGTGGTCTTGACATCCCCATGCTGGACAATGTCATCAACTACAGCTTCCCTGCCAAGTCCAAGCTTTTCCTGCACCGTGTTGGTAGGTGCCACCCCGGGGTTCCTCAGGGTGATGGTGACAGGGAAGGTGTGAGTGGGCTGACCCTTGGGGTCCTAGAGCACCAGTGGGTCCCTGTCCCAGGTCGGGGGCTGGTGCTGGCTCTGGTTTCCCACCCCCCTCCTCCTCACCCTGCCAGGTCGTGTGGCCCGTGCTGGCCGCAGTGGCACTGCCTACTCGCTGGTGGCTCCTGATGAGATGCCCTACATCTTTGACCTCCACCTCTTCCTGGGACGCCCACTTATCCTTGCCGGTGCCCAGGAGATGCCTGCAGGTGAGGAGGACCCAAACGTGGAGGTGGCTGCACATCCTTTCGGGTTTATCCTTGAATATTGTGAGCTTTTGTGCAGAAGGGTCTTAGGGGGGTGATGCCCTCTTGCTCCCAGGGTGGGTTGCTGAGGCCATGTCCCTGGTGCTGCAGATGCAGATGGGGTCCTGGGTCGCGTCCCGCAGAGCTTGGTGGATGACGAGGAGTGCCTGCTGCTCACAGACCACGAGGGCTCACTGGAGCTGCAGAGCCTGCGCCGCGTGGCTGACAATGCCCAGAAGCAGTACCTGCGCTCCCGGCCCGGCCCCTCGCCCGAGTCCATCAAGAGGGTGAAGGAGATGGACATGTCTCAGCTGGGCATCCACCCCCTCTTCAGTGAGTGCTTCAGGGCACTGTGGGAGGGGATGCTTCTCCCCTGTGGATGAGCTGATCCCTCTGTGCTCCCCAGGTGCTCACTTTGAAGATACTGAACTGGAGAGGCTGAAGTTGGTGGACAGCATTAAAGCCTACAAGTCCAAGGCGGTGAGCTGGGGCCTGGCCTTTGGATGGAAAGCAGAGGGAGGGGAGGGATGGGAAAAGAGGGAAGTCCCATAATCACAGAGGTTGGAAAAAAATGATCTAAAGATCATCAAGTCCAGCCTTCGACCCATTCTCACCATGCCCATTAAACCATTCACTCCTGGGCTTGCTCTGTCTCTGTGCACAGACCATCTTTGAGATCAACGCCACAGCCCACACGTTGGCCAGCAGCATCATGCGTTCCAAGCGGCGACACGACCGTGCCCTCATCGAGAAGTTCCAGCGCGGGCAGGAGGAGAAGCGGGCAGCAGCTCTCAAGGGGCAGGGGCTGCATCCTGCCACCCCCAAGCCTGAGGAGGAGGAAGGAGAGGAGGAAAACCTCCAGGTAACGGGGCTGGGACAGGGCTGTGCCTTGGCCTTGGAGTGGGCATGTGAACCTCTAGAAGAACCTGGCCCCGGGGTTGGGACATGGAGCCTCAGCCCTTTGTTTGCCCCACTGCAGGAGGTGTTCTCCACCGTGGTGGGACGGAAGCGCAAACGGAGCCGGGCTGCAGAAGATGGTGCCAGGAAAAAGCCACAGCTGCCAGCACAGCGGGATGAGGATTTCTACATCCCATATCGACCCAAGGACTTTGAGAGCGAGCGGGGGTGAGTTGGGAGCACTCCCCTGACCTCCTGCAGCAGCCCGGGCTGTTCTCATTGCTCCCCTCTGTGCAGGCTGAGTGTGGGCGGTGAGGGCAGTGCCTTCGAGCAGCAGGCAGCTGGGGCTGTGCTGGATCTCATGGGTGATGAAGGCCACAACCTGAACAGGAGCAAGCAGCTGCTGAAGTGGTGAGTGAGGTCTGACTGTGGCAGGAAAGAGCTGGGCAGGGAGCAGAGCCCAAGGGGATGTTTCCCTCCTCTCAAAGCCAGTGACTCTTGCTGTATATTGGGCAGTGTCAGGTAGAATTGGGATGCCCAGTGAGGTGGTTGGAGGTGGCTTGTTGTTCAGGAGTCTCCCACCCTCCTCACTCCATCTTTCCCAGGGACCGGAAGAAGAAGCGTTTTGTGGGGCAGACGGGCCAGGAGGAGAAGAAGAAAGTGCAGACAGAGAGCGGGCGCTACATCAGCAGCTCCTACAAGAACAACCTGTATCCTTACCACGCTGTGCTGGGGGAGCTGGGTGTGGGGCTGCATGGCCTTGCAGCTGGGGAGATGGGAGAGGGGGCTCTGCCTGGTGCTAGAGGGAGGTGGGGGAGGCTGAGAGCTGGGAAGCGCTGTGCCTGCCCTTAACCTGCCGCAGCTATGAGAAATGGAAGCAGAAAAACAAGGTTGATGAGCGAGACGAGGACGAAGACAACCAGGGAGGCCGGGAGCAATACAGAGGGAAGCACAAACGTGGGCATGGTGAGTACCTGAACGGGCACCAATCCCCATCTACCCCCCCTGCATCTCTGTGGCCTCCAAGCTTGGTTTTACATCCACCCATGGCTGTGTCTGTCCCACAGCCCCCCAGCGGCCCCCCACCCAGGGCAAGGTGCGCTCGGAGCTGAAGAACAAGCAGCAGATCCTGAAGCAGCGCAAGGCAGCGGCCAAGCAGCGCTTCCTGCAGCGCGGGGGCCTGAAGCGCCTGAAGGCACGGAACCGGCAGCGGGTGCAGGAGCTGCGACAGATGGCCTTCGGCCGCCGTGTTGGGGCCACCAAGAAGGGAAAGCTCCGAAAAAAGATGTAGGAGATGGCCTAGCAAAGGACGCATCAAATAGATACCCAGCTGGTTTTGGAGCCTGCCTCCTCTCTTGTGTCTTATGCCGGGGGTAATTCCTCGCCCAGGTTCAGTTCTAAAAGAACGCAGCACTCAGGGACTGCAGCTGTGTTATATTTTGATGGGAAAAGGCTTTATCAGTATCAATGGCCTGAAGATGAGCAGCTGCTCTACTGTCTGTTCAGGTGCCTTGCAGGAGGGTGCTGGTGGCCCAGGCTCTGTCCTGGGGCGTTTCTCTTCATCTTCCCTGGACTGGCTGAGGAGTGACTTCCATGCTTCATTGTGTCCTAAGTCCATCTATTCGTGGCTGGGAGGCACAGCGACAGCCCTGTGATGCTGTGAGTGTGTGGCAGTGGTGGCAGGCACATGAGGATGCAGCCCCAGCTCAGCACAGATGGCAGCCAGGTCCTGCATGCAGAGCAGCAGCTGGGGACACGGGGGCCTCTGTGTCACAGGGACATCCGCATCCCTTCCAGCCCCGTGGCTGCTGGGCCACACTCACCACATCCAGTTGTGCCTCTGTGTCCCCCAGGGCCACATCCTTGGGGACCTCTAGCCTCGTGGTGGTGAGCTGGAAGAGGCTCAGCACCACCATCCGGATCTGCCCCAGCAGCAGCGTCTTCTGGGCTGCAGCACCTTCCAGCTGGACCCAGTGGGACTCCTGGGGGCAGGGAAGAGCTCAGGGCTGCAGATGGTCCCATCCCACAGCCCCTCGCCCTGGGGGTCCTGCAGCCTTTACCCCCTTCAGCACATCACGGTGGGCAGCTTCCAGACGGGCACGGAGCTGGAGCACCTCCTCATTGCCACTGGTGAGCTCGCCATCAGCCTCCTCACAGCACTGCTGGAGCTGAGCCCGGCCCTGGGCCAATTTCACCCGCCTGGCTTCCACCTGCTGCAGCAGCACTGCCTGTGCCTCCATCAGTGCCCCGAAATGGGCCAGCATGGATGGCACGTCCTGAAACTGGAGCACAGCGTTGAGGGGATGAACAGGATGCTTCCAGGCCCTTCCTTGAGGACAGGAACCCTCACCCTCCCCATGGCCGCTCGCACATCCTCCAGGAAGTCACCGAAGACACGGAGGCTCCGCAGGCGCTGTCCCAGTTGTTCCCTGTGCCCCTGCAGCCTCTCCAGCTCCTGCTGCAGCCTCAAGGCCTCAGCTCTGTGTTGTGCCGCCCGTGCCCTCTCCTCACCTGCCCGCTGCTGCGCCCGCTGCCGCCTTGCTGACATAGCCTGAGGCATCGAGATGCCATTGGTGGGGATGGCAGAAGGACGCGGCCGTGAGCCCAGCCCCGAACCCACTCACACCTTAAGGAAGGCGTTGAATTTGATGGTGTCATCATGGAGCTGCTCTTCCCTCTGGCCCAGCTGCTGCCAGCGCTGTGCCAGGCGGTCCATCTGCTGCTGGAAGTCCTGAGGGGCCAGAGGGTGGAGCACAGCCCACACCCAAGGGGCAGGGACACAATCACAGGGGTGGGGGGGACCTCTGGAGCTCCCTCATCCCACCCTCTCTACTATTCCCTACAGTAGGTTGCACAGGAATGCTGTCCAGGTGGGATTGAACACCTCCAGAGCAGGAAACTCCACCTCTCTGGACTCTGAATCATCCCCAGCTTATTCCTCCCCAGATTCTACACTTGCCCTTGTTGATTTTCATAAGGTTCCTCTCCCCCACAGCTCAGAGGAGGGGGAAAAACCACTGTGCACCCAAAGGAAATCTGTGGTTTCAGTCCCGCTATGGAGGAGAAACAACCACGCATGGGGGGCACACGGTGGGCTGGGGGCTGTACGGGGCTATACCTCTCGCTGGGCCTGCAGGGCTCTCTCCACCTCCACCACCTCCCTCCTTTTCAGCAGCAGGCGCCTGGAGGGCAGCAGAGATGCTGAGTCCCATGTTGGCACTTTCCTGGGGACGCACACAGACCATCACAGCCGGCAGCACAGCCAGGACCCCCAACCCCAACAGACCCCCCCCCCCCCCCCCAAATGCCTGCCCAGGCTCAGCCATAGGGTGTGCAGGTTACCCCTTACCCCCAGCTAAGGCTGCAGCACAGCCCCTTGCCTGGGCTGCCCCCCATAGGATGTCACCTGTCTGCTGAGCTGGGGACACCTCAGAGCCTTCTGCCCAGCCTGAGATCAGCTGCACAAACAGCCCCTTGTTGGTGGGCACAATGGCAGCCTACGGGGGGAGGATGGGGACACTCACTGGAACCGCAGCTTGTCCTGGAACGCCCTGCTCAGATGTTCCTCCAGACCCAGGGACATCTTAGGGACAGCGTCCGGATCCTGTGCAGCAAGGGAAGGGAGCAGAGGAGCAGGACGTGGGGCGGCCATTGCAGACGGCAGAGGGACACAATGCTGTTGCCAGGGGCAGCCAGAGGCTCCCGCAGGGCACGTTTCCTTCCCCCAGCTCTGAGCGTCATCCGGTGAGGCTGGGAGCACACACGTATGGCCTGGGGATCAGGGACTGAGCCCCTGCACAAGGAGGTCTCTGATGGGAAACCCAGGCTGCGGTGTGGCTTGTCAGAGCCAGGAGCCCCAATGGGGCAGGAGACGGGGGGTACCGCTCCCTGGGACACATCCCCCCCTCCATGCTCCTACCCACGCTCTGTCCTCCCCCCACAGCCCTCAGTCCCCACTCCAGCCCTCCTCCCAAACCTCTGCAGGGATCACAGTCAGACCCCAGCTGCTGCTCTGCACCACTGCTCCAATCCCCACAGCTGCTCAGCTCCCAGCTCAGATCGTTCTTCACACTCCAAGAGGGGCTCAGCTCCCTCCCACAGTGCACACACAGCTCTTCTCCATATTTTCCCCCCCCCCCCCCCCCCATCTTCAGCTCCCCTCTGTTCCCCCAGGTGCACTCAGATCCCCACCATTCCCTGTGTGTGTGCTCCCACCCCTCTGCTCACCCCTGCAGGGCTTTATCCATCCCTCACTCTCCTCCTGTATGCTCCCACCCCTCTGAGTCCCACCCTCACTGTGGGCCCAAGAAAACAGTGCAGGTCTTGGGAAAAAAAAAACCAAAACAATTATTTATAATAAAAACAATTAAGTCTCCTTGGAAAGTCAGCATCCCCACCCCAACCCCCCATCCTGCCCCATCCTCCAATTGCTTCTTCCATCATCCTGGCACAGCCACTTGGTGGCCTCAAGGCAACGTTCTCCATGTGCTCCCCCCAGCTCTGGCATTGCTGGCAGTGACTGAGCTGAAACCCCACATCGTAGCCAAGGCTGACATGCACTGAGATGAGCAGGCCACTGGCACCTATTTGCTGAACTCTGCTCCTGCGCTGGGTGGCACCTTGTTAAGAAGGGTATCTGAGACAAAGAGGAACAGGAAAAGAGAGAAGAAAGGGAGAAACAAGGCTGGAAGGGTGGAGTGAAAGCTGGGGGAGTGGAGAAGGAAGAGGGGTGCTCTGGCTGAACCAGATGGCTGCAGGACACGAACAGCCTGTGCTCAGCCACAAGGCAACGAGGACGTTTGGTGCTGGGCTTCCAGCTGGAGCTTTGTGCATTTCCATAACAAGGCATGGAGGTTATGTGCCTTGTGCGTCTTTTCCATTTGTCTTCTGAAGAGGAACCACGCTGTGCAGCTCGCCCTCGTCACCTACACAGGGCACAGAGCAGCACCTCAGCAAGAGTCAGCAAACCAGACAACAGTTCTTTCCCCCTCTTTGTTGCTCCAGCCCCCAAACCCAGCCAGCAGGCAGGCACCAGCGCTCACCTTCTGTCGGGCAGTTGAGATAAGCAGCCTGGATGCTGTTCCCATTGACCAGCGCCATCACCTCCTGCTTGTTGGAGCTGCCCCCCGTGTTCTCTTCCCCATTCCTTTCATCATCATCATCATCATCATCATCATCATCATCATCATCATCATCTCCCGAGTCCACCAGCACTAAGACGTCATCAGAGTCCTGGCTCCTGTCAACAGCAGAGCGAGGGGAGGTGGGCTGATGCTGAGAACAGCTTCTCCCGACCCTGTTCCTCCAGTCTGCATCTCCCCTGGCCTTGACAACTCCATACACCACAACCACCCATTTGGACAGACTCTTCCAACCCTGCACGAACTGCGTTTGAAGAAAAACTGGTTTCACACCCTGCTGGCAGCAACAGCACCAACAGCATTCTGCACTGCTTCCCATTCGTCTTCCAAAGTCGTCCAACCATCTCATCAACAGTCCTGTACTACACTGCAAGAACCCCTCCTGAACAGAGTCATCCTCCCCTCCTGCACACATGGGGAACTGGAGGCACTCAGAATAGTCTTCTCTATTGTGCTGCAGCATCACAGCTGTGGGAACAGAACCAACAAGGGCAAGGAGAGGGAGCAGGGCCAGGAGTGGTGACAGCAGGAAGCAGAGAAGAAATCCAGTGCAGCAGAATCCCCACAGAAGTACTCGCTTACATGCAGCTCTCAGACAGTCCCCCCAAAGGAAGAGAACACAGTGCAGACACCCATGCAGAGAAGCAGATTGCCATTTCACTCTACACACCAAGTTTTAGGGCTCACCTGCACCATGGAGAAGCTCTCCTGCACAGCCTTCCCCCATGCTAACAGGACACCTCTGCATGCCCAGAGGCAGTGACAAGTGTTCCCCTCATTCTCCTGCTCCCTCACCCACACCAAGCCTCACCCAGCCATGCTGAACCCTTCCACTTTCACCTAAGAACAGCTCTGTTCTGCTCTACTGGAGATCATGGCTGCCAGGATGCTAGGCTAACAAACCAGACTGAGGAAAAGCAACTTACCTGAATGCAGCACCTAAATGGGAGAGAAGGGAAGAGAGAAGGGAGTGTTAGAAACCAATCCCACAGCAGCTGCTGGTTTTGCTGTGCAGATCCTACCAGCTGTGCATAGGAGCTCGGAAGGAAAGGGAAGAGTAGGAATGGCTCTGCACAGCTCCCTGCAGGAGCTCAGGGCAAGATACTTGAAGCATCCAGCCATGGAAGGGCCTTGTGTTCCAGCCTAGTTCCTTCAGTGAGGATGGGCTCCTTACCAGGAGCACGATGATGCCCAAGAGCTGGGGGTAGTCAGTAGCTGACTCCAACACAACAGGAAGGGCAGGTAGGTTAGGGAAAATTCCTCTCTACCCCGTGGCTTGCACAGAGAGCTCCTACCTCTGAGGCACAAGAGAGGATTGTAGTACAAGACAACCCCGGAGATGGTGAGGACAGCCATCAGGGACAGGACCACCACCGCACCCACAACTCCAACTATGTTTGTTGGTTCTGCAGAAAAGGGAAACACAAGAGGCCAACTTGTCGCTGGGACATGGATGGATGCCAAGGATGTTCAAATAACAGAGGTCTCAGTGCTGCACTGCTCTGATTTCCCCCCATTCCTACAGTCCCACCACCACACAAGGTGTGCTCGTATGATGAAACAACCATGCTTCATTGACATGGAAAACAACACTGCAAGGTTTTTGTGAAAACAAATCCGCTCCTGCTTGTTGCTGCTTGAGAGCTCCTCTGCCCCCAGCATCAACAGGAAGGACCAAGGAGCAGCTGTGCTCCTCTCTCAGGCCCAATACACCAAGGTGAGAGGAATGGAGGCTTTTAACTCTGGGACGAGAAGACCCAGTCCCACACCTCGCTTGCAGTGAAAGCACAAAAAGTATCACAGACAATCAGTGACACATGCAGCCCCACAGGGGCTCTCCAGCACTTGCCATGAGCTGTGTCCCTGCTTTCCTTACATTCCCAGCCACAGCAACCCCAGGCAGCCCTACTCACGCTTCACCGTCAGGCAGACGAACACCTCCCGCAGCCCCACGGGGTTCTGTGCTTTGCAGATGTAACAGCCCCCATCGATGCCCTGGGAGCAGTTCTGGATGGTGAGGTGGGACACGTTGCCCTCCTGGGCAATGAAGTACCTCCCTCCAGGTTCGATCTCTGGCTGGGTGATGCCCCGCAGCCAGGTGAGTCTTGCTGCAGGCACGCTCTCGGTCACACGGCACGTCAGGGTCACGTTGTCACCCACAAAACAGGTCTTTGGGGGCTCCAATTCCAACGAGGGGACTTCTGAACCAGCCCAGAAGGAAAGAAACAGTCAAGGAAGAGATGGAAGAGTTAAACATAACAATCTGTCAGCCATCCGACTGATTAGTAATCATTAACAGAGGAAAACATGCAGGTTGAGACTCGAGCAGCCTTCCATGGAGTGATATGATATTATGTGATATGAGCAACTCTCACTTTTCCCATTTTTGACACCTGCATTTATATCGACAGAGGACAACACCTGGAGGGCAGCCAGGAGGAATATGGCAGAGGAGAAGGGCAGCCCAGGGGGCTGGGGACACACAAAACCATTCTGACATAAACCCAGCCCCAGTACATTTAAACTCAAGCTGAGCAAGGCACTCAAATCACTGGTTCATGTTTTCTGTTCTGGACACAGGTATGAGTGTTTGCATAGGAGAAAAGGTTGGTGCATGGGGATTTGTCAACCCAAAACACGACTCAACAACAACTCTGCCACGCTAGATCTCACCTGTAGGACTTCTGTGCCTCGTGCAGTCACCTCTGCACAGCCAAATCTTGTCAGGCTGCCTTGTTTGCATCCCTCCCCTGCTGCAAGAACCAGCAAGACTGGCTCTGGAGGGCAGAGAACGATCAGGATACCTGTCTACCCCACCATTAATCATTAATACGGTGAAGAAACCAACTTACTTATCTCCACAGAGCATGCAGGCTCCTCCTGCTTCACAACGTGGCTCCCAACACACTTGAACACTTTGCGGTGGGAGAGGTAGGAGCTGTTCAGTGTTTCCACGTGGGTGTCTGAGGAGCTTGTGGAGCTGATGAGCCAGCTGGAGTTCTCCAGATCGTGCCCCTCTTCTTGCCAGTGCAGGGTGGGGTGGGGATACCCCCCAGGCCAACTGCAAAACAGCTGCAGCATCAGCCCCGAGGAGGAGCTCTCAGCCCAGCACTTTGGGGTGGAACGTGGTGGATCTGTAGCAAGAAGGTCACGCAGTTAGAAACATATCCGAGTCACTTGGTGTCCCAGGGCTGGAACCTCAGAGAAAGCTTAGCTTTGCAATCATTCCCCTTGAAACTCTCCATGGGTTCCCTGCCTGCGTTTCCCCCTGATCGGCGCACCACTGCCTCAGGGGAGCATAACTGAGACAGCCAAGAGGGACAAAGCAGGAGGCTGCTTTGCAAGAAGTATCACAGCAACCACTACAACACAGGGGAAGGACACATCTTTGCCACAGTCTCTTTTGGAGACAGCTGTCACTGCTGCGTGGGGTCACACTGCCTCGCTCAGCCCCTTGCTGTGCTATGCTCACATCACACTGCAGCAGTGGGGACAAACTCCAAGAGAAGGGAGGTGGGTAAGGCACTGCTGGGTTCACGCCAGGGCCGACCATCGGGTAACCGAGAGTTTGCTATTTAAATACAGAAACAACTAAAGGCAAGATGGGGCAGAAGCCAACAGAAACACAAGAGCAGCCCCCTCAGGCAGAGCAGAGCTCACGTTTCATGCAGCTGGACTTCATGCCTCTCCCCCATCGTCTGGTTTCTTCACATTTCTGGGGCTGCCCAAGAGTAGGATTTTGGTGGAGAAACTTTTGCACATACACACCCATATGCAAATACACACACGTCTGTTTAACAGCCAGAGGGA